AACCTGAAGGACTAACCTGAGGACCTAACCTGAAGGACCTAACCTGAAGGACTAACCTGAAGGACTAACCTGAAGGACTGACCTGAAGGACTAACCTGAGGACCTAACCTGAGGACCTAACCTGAAGGACTAACCTGAAGGACTGACCTGAAGGACTGACCTGAAGGACTGACCTGAAGGACTAAGCTCTGGGACAAATCTTGCATGTTTGTTAAGTAGAGTTGTTACGTGTAGTTGGTTACCTGCAGCACCTCCTCCTCCAGGTACTCGTCCTCCTCGCCTTCGTTCTCGGCATTCTCGCTGTAGCTCAACAGGTGCTTCTCCAGCCTCGACGCAGTGTGCGCCCGCCGCCCGCCCGTATGAGTGTAAATGTGCGTGTGGCCGGGGGAGGTGCTCTCATAGTCCATTTGGTAAAGAGGAGAGTCTCTGGAGCCTCTGGGGTTCAGACCTGTGACATCAATCTGCTCAGACATGTTTTTATCCAATGACAGAAGAACATAAATAAGAGGTGAACAAACGTTACCTGGGCTGAATCCAACGTTGGGCTCTTCTCCCCACATGGACACGGGTGGAAGTGAGGACAGCAGGGGGGAGGGGGCAGAGGGAGGGGAGACAGGCAGAGAGGAAGAGGGCGAGGAAGGAGAAGAAGGGGAGGACGGGGAGGTATCCATGGGGGCAGGGCCACTCGAGTAGGCGGAGCTCGGGGAAGTGGACGAGGGGTCACTGGGAGAGGGGAGGCTGCTGGACGAGCTCAGACCTAAGACGAGAGAGGGAAGACTGTCACAGCCAATCAGAGCACCAGAATCCTTCAACATGCCGTGTGTGTGTGTTACCTGTGTCTGGGCTCGTGGACAGAGGCGACAGGGGCAGCTGTGGCGTGGCCGGTGTGTCCACTTCAGACATGTGCGTGTCCCTGGGTGTGGTGTGAGAGCGTGTGCACTGTGTGTGCAGCTCCTCCAGTGCCATGGCGAGTCGGGTGTGTCCTCGGGAGCGAGCGACAGCGAGTGGCAGACGTCCCAGCGAATCGGGGATCCCCAGAGCCAGAATGTTCCAGCTGTAGAGGAGCTCCGCTGCCCTCTGGTGACCCAGAGCACACGCCCACATCTGGAACGCACAAACACGTTGAACAAGAGAGCGGGTGGTTAAACGTTAAGACGCTGACATTGATTTGTTACAGCAACAGATGCAGTTTTGTGTGTTCGTTTTACCAGCGGGGTGCAGGAGAAGTGGTCGACGTTGAGAGGATCAACTTCCTGTTCCAAGTCCAAACTGTCGCTGTTCACGCTCCTACGACGAAACACAACAGCTGCAGTCAACCATAGAGAGAGAGAGAGAGAGTGTGTGTGTGAGTGTGTGTGTGTGTGTGTACCTCCAGCGGATCAGAGTGCGTATCAGGTGTGTGTATCCCTGTGCAGCAGCCAGGTGGAGCAGTGTCATCCCGCGGTGACGGATGGAGTGATGAAGCCTCTCTCCTCCTCCTCTTCCTCCCCATCGTCCTACCCTCATCATTCGTTCACAAACTCCCACAATCCTCCTCTCAAACCACTGAGAGGACTGAGACACAGACATTGATGTCACGGTGATGTCAGGTGAAGTAGCACTCGTGTATCCATGACGATCTGGTCTAACGTGTGTTAAACTGATTGACATGATGTCTTCAATTTGACGTGTTGATTGACGAGTTGATCAGTTTTCATTTGGAAACCCCGCTAATGCATGTGGGTGAGCGAGGCCTAACCCACAAACACAAAATATACAGCACCAACACAACGCAACACTGTGACAACCTAATACAACGACAACACAACAACATAAACAGGCTCTTCACTCTGGTTCTCTGTAATGTTGTCGTCATTGCAGGAGAACCAGTGTTCACTCTGTGTGTGGCTTCACTCTTCATGCCTCGTCTCAGCGACCTCACCTGTTCCTGTTCCTCAGGTAGGGGTGGTGGGGGGGGTGTTGCCAGCTGGTTGCTGTGCTGTTGTTGTTGTTGTTGTTGGTGGTTGTTGTTGTTGTCACGGGCGGCCATCTCTGCCATCCTACGCTCCATCTGCTCCAGACGCTCCAGGATGGACATCCTGAACTGATTATCTGTAGAGAAAATAATCAGAGTGAGACCTCTTGACAATTAGTCCACATACGTCTCCCATAATACACCTGGTTCTGTTCTTTTTTGTTAACAAAGACTGATGACATCACTGGGACACCATGATGCATTTTAAAGGTTTGATCTGTTGGTCTCTGATTGGCTCATCAGAAACTGCATGATAATGAAACTGCTCTGAGGTGGATGACATGAGATGATGACATTATCCACAGGAAGTGATTTCACAACAGGTTATATCAACATGTGACATGACGACAGTTAAAAATGAGGTGTGGGGGTGTGGGGGAGGGATGGTTTCTGACCGTCCAATGAGAGCCAGTCGAGCTGCGAGCTGGGCAGGGAGCTGGCGTTCCTCGCTCGGTACTCGAACAGAACAGACGAAGAAATGGAACCCCCAGACTCCAGAACCTGCAGACAGACCAAACCAGCCTCGTGGGCTGAGAGGGGACACATAACGTCCATCAGAGACGTCCATCAAAGACTCAACGTCCAGCAGAGACCAGGGCTCCAGTCAAACTTGGTTTACATTGGTTGCACCAGCACATAATTGAGGTGTACCCAACATTTTACCCTGTGCCTTTTTGCACCGCAGTAATACACCTTGCTTTGGTTATTTATTAACTACGGCTGGGTTCGATTTTTGATTTATTCGAGTATCGATTCAGTTCAGGATATTTCACTGAACAAGAACAATTTTGCTTGGATATGAAATCAATTCTCAGAGAATTAAAGCTGTACACTGAACAAGGAAATCTTTAAAAATATTAAGGTCTGTCACAATAACACATTTTGTTGGATGATATTTGGTCCCAGAAATGATTGTGATAAATGATATTGTTTTCATTGTGAAACCATTTTAAACCACTGGTACAATGATGATGTTGTAACATAACGATCCTGCAAGTTCTCACTTTCAAAGAGCAATGAAGTGAATTTTAAAGAATATTCAGTCTGACATTTGAATTAGAAATATTAAAAATCCTAAATAAATAACACATCAACCACAGACAAACAAAACTAAATGAAATAGGCTCTCTGGCTCTGTTCACGAAAATTGCTCTTGAATATTAAACATTTGATACAGGGTATATGTTACCAGCTCAGTAAACTGGATGGTGAAGATTTAGTATTAGGTTAGTATTAAGGCGATTCACCTTGGATTTTGTGTGTGTGTGTGTGTGTGTGTGTGTGTGTGTGTGTGTGTGTGTGTGTGTCTGTCCTTACTTGGTGTCTTTGGGTGGGTTTCTTGAACAGACTTTTTTTTTTCCAATGTGTTTAAATACATGTCTCATAAATTCTGGAGCGAATCAAACGAACACTTCAGAAAAATTCAGGTCTTAACAACTTGTGCTTGTTCACGACAATTCATCAGGAACCCACTGTGTGTGTGTGTGTGTGTGTGTGTGTGTGTACCCGGGCAGTAGCAGCGCAGTACTCCAGGTTGAATCAGTGATGCAGGGACGGTGCTCTGATCAAAAACACATGAGTATCGACCCAACAGTTCGCTCCACGGACCCGTTATCAACACCTTCACCCCCCCCTGAAAACAAACACACAAAACTTCACTTTTATAATCAATATCTGATCAATAATATTTCACATGATCTACTTTCATTGATTAATCTGATGAATATTTAACTGATCATTCATTTCATCAATCACTTACACAAATTAATATTAAAAGGGATCGATCTGTTATTTACCGGCTGTCAGTGATTATTGGTGATTGATTACCTCGGGGTAAGACCACTCTGGGGAGAAGTCGGTGATGGAGGCAAGGCGGGTGGAGGAGGGGGAGGGCAGCGGTTGAGGGAAGGGGAGGAAGGAGGAGGAGGGGGAGGGCTGGGGGGGCACCATGTATCGAACCCCTGCAGCGAACACAGCTGGGTTTGACGTGACAGCGGTGGAGGGGTGAGCTGTGACGGGATTGGCCTCCTCTGTGATGAGGTCCGAGATTAGGTCAGGAAACTGGCTGTCGAAGGAGATGTCAAGCTCCTCCCCTGCCTGTTCGCAGGGTCCGGCCTCCTCCTCCACGGGTGTGTCCATGCAGGCATCCTCTGCGTCGTAGCCCCGCCTGCTCTCCTCCTTCACCTGAATCTGAGCAGTCGCCAGGTGAGCTGGAACCATGGCGACAGCAGCCGGTGAAGACACCGCCTTAGCAAACAGTGACGACTGCTGCAGCACCAGGGGCTGATGGGATATCTGAGCCAGGGCCGGGGCTTCAGTTGCCGACTGGTGATTGTAGGGCCGTCTCAGAACCAATGAATGCTGTCCATTAGCTTGTCTGTGCGTCTGATTGGCTGTCTGGGTAAGAGGTGCTGCTGAGTCTTGACAAATCAGGAGCAGTGACGCAGCGCTACTTCCTGTCTGTTGCTGTAGCAACGAGCCGGAGGAGGCGTGGTTAGGCTGAAGGACACAGAAGAAAAAAAAATTTGATTCCATCTAAATATCTGCGAATCAATTTTGTTGATCGATCGACTGACTCACCTGCAGCAGCGCCAGTTTGGTGGGAGGAGCTCTGCCTTCATCATCGTCATCGTCCTCTCCACTGTTCTTCACCTCCTCTTCATCGCACCCCACCTCCTCCCCCCTCTCTCCCTCAAACTGCCCCAGAGCATCAAGCTCCAGGCAGAGGTGGAGGAGGGGCGGGGCCACAGAGGGGGTGGGAGACAGGGAGGGGGGGAGGGAGGACGAAGGTGGAGAGGAAGATGAAGACGAAAGGGAGGGGAGGGTGAGGATCGAGTCTCGCTTGTCCACCTCAGAGGAGGAGAAGGAGAGAGAGGAGAGCGAGGAGGGAGGGGAGACGGAGGAGGGAGGGGTGGAGGTGGGGGAGAGAGCCAGGGAGGGGGGAGAGAGAGGGCAGGAGGAGGAGGAGCAGAGGACAGGGGAGGGAGTGGAGGAGGAGGGGTGAGGAGGGCCACCATACGTCTGACCCTGTTTGGGGGAGTTTAGGAAGTAGTCAGGGTCGAAGGTGGGGGGGAGGGATGGGGGAGGTGGAGGTGGTGAAGGGGAGGAGGGGGGAGAATGAGGAGTGGTGTCAGCAGGAGGGGGAGGGGAGCGAAGTGAAGTAGAGGAGGAGGAGGGGCTGAGGAGCAGGCCTCCGATGACAGGAGACGGGAGGAGGGTGAGAGAGAGGGTGGTGACACCCGGCGCTTGTACATCAGGAGGGGGGAGGGAGGAGGGAGTGGGTGAGCATGAGGAGGTCGGGGAGGGGCAGGTGGGCATGTCTGCAGAAGGGGGGAGGGTGGGGGAGAGCAGCAACTGGCCCGAACGGGTGAGTGAAAGGCTCCTCCTTTGTCCTGCTTCGTCCCCTCTGGCCCCACCCCCTCCCTGCCCCCCTCCTCCTCCAGCAATGGCGGTGGTTGTTGCCATGACAATGACAGCATTCTGGGGCAGCGCCACTGTCGTCAGGTTGCTGCTCCGGTCGCCGTAGAAGCTGTTGCCATGGTTGTTCATGGTGATGGTGGCTCTGTGGGGCTGAGGGGGCGACGAGGCCGAGCTGCCAATCAGAGAAGACATGTGTTTATGATAACGTGAGACGTTAACTCACTGTTGTTATGGTTACTCAGTTTTCCTGCCTCTGTCAAAATCAGTCTTTAGTAAGCGATGACGCCCACGTTCTCTTCTGATTAGTTCTCATCGGTCACATGACTCGACTACCAGCGGTGAAGACAAAGCGTCGCCAACACTTCCTGTCAGGAACAGTTCCGTCTCATCGTCGCTCAGAGAAAAGAAATCCCTGCTCCTCCTTCAGAGGAGTTTCTGTTACTAAGCAACCAACTGCAGAGACAATCGACTTCCTGTTTACATCACATGACCACTGTAGGTGAACGGTCATGTGACCTGTGTGTTAGTGTGGGCGGAAGTGGGTTAAGTTTTACTCTAATGGTTACAAACAGAAACAGGAAGTGATAGTTGGTTTGCAGACTTACGTGGAGGCGGGGCAGGGAGAAGAGGCGGGGCTGCTCTGAGCCTGGATGTGAGGCAGCTTGGCTTCTCCTCCCCCTCCTGCCTCCCCCCCCTCAGAGCAGAGGGGGGAGGGGGAGGGTCTGCAGGAGAAGGGGGGCAGTTTGGGGGAGATGATGCGATGCTTGGTGCTGTTACAGCGGTGAGGAATGTTCACTCCTGGAGACACTGCACACACATACAGCAGCAGGTTAGTCTGACCCATGGTGATGTCACAGTGATGTCATGGCAGTGTGTGCATTACCTTGGGCCGTGTTACACAGACAGGTGTGTGTGCGAGGCTGGGGTTTGGTTCTCTGTCGGTCCAGGATGTGTTGAACCAACTCCTCGATGCTGAAATCACCTGAGCCCAGAGAACACTTCATACTGTGAACTGAGACAAGAAGAGCCAGTCAAAACACACACACACACACACACACACACACACACACACACACACACACAGGTGTTACGTGTGTGCTCATACACATGGGCTTCAGCTGGTTCAGTAGATCATCTCGGCTCCACCTCACGCTGTCATGGCGGTCGGCCACTGCACACAGCAGTGGACTGCACTTCCCAGAATCCTCCAGGGAGGGCACATTCAGGTAGTGGACCAGCACAATGTCTGGGTTCTGACACACACACACACAGTTTGTGTTGTAAGGACATTTGCTCAAATGCATTTCAGTGTTTGTTTGATCTTTGTGTGTGTTTTGTGTGTGTTTTGTGTGTACCTGCAGCAGCCAGTAGCATCGTCTGTGGAATGTCGGTACGATGGAGGAATGGACGTAGCAACCATAAAGGCACTGAAACAACAGACAGCTGTTAGCATCAGTTAGCATCATTGACAGTAATAATAATCTGAGCAGCTCATCACTTCTCAACCTTCCATATCAATGGTCTTATTTATGCTCTGACTCCCCCTTCAGGTAAACCCCATGAACTGCACTGTTTCTGTACTTCGAGCAGGAGCATGAAGAAGTTTAATGACGTTTCCGCTCGTTCTGTTTAACTGGAGCTTTGTGGTTGATGACGTTAAGAATAAACACAAACCAACAAGGTCACCAGTCAAACACACATCTGATCAATGAGCCACGTTTTCATCTCTTCACTGCAGCTGCTTTAATTTTAGAATTCAGATTCATTAAATGAAACAATACATATCTGACTCAAACAAAAATGATGATAATTTAATCAATCAATAATCATTTCAGTGGTCACTCATCAATAGTGATATGATGAGCATCCTGCAGGAGGCGCAGTGTGCTGCACACCTCCATGCCCTGGACCTTGAGCTTCATGTGGTCCTCTCTTGTCGTCTTTCCATCCTTCCTTTTCTTCCAGCAGTATCCATCCTTCCTGTACTTCACCTTCTTCCTGTTGTACAGGATGATGCTGCCATTCTTCGGCCTGAGACACAAAGACCCAAGAAGCTGTTATTACTTCTTGGAAACAACAACGCTGATCGGACGAAGTGGACGGGAAGTGAGGTCCGATCCCGAGATGCATGTGGGGCCACATGTTGATACCAGGTGTGTACAGGGACAGTGACGCTCTGGTTCATACCTGGTTTTCAGGCTGCAGGAGAGCCACTCGTCATGTCTGTCAAATGAAATCAGGTAAGAAGCGATCTCCTGCAGAGACAAGGAGACAAGTAAATGCTCTGTATTTACACAGATCTTTCTTTAGCCTTGACGACACACAGAGCTCTTTACTGTACAGTTTGGCCATTCACACACATTCACATTCTCCACACATAGCCGGCAATATTTGGGGTTGAGTATCTTGCCCTAGGACACCTTGGCATGGAGAAAGGAGAGAGTGTGTGTGTGTTAGTGTGTGTGTGTTAGTGTGTGTGTGTCTTCAAACTTTTGTCCATATAATACATGAGCAGTGAATAAATAGCCCACATAGTTCCTCTTTTATTTTGACACTTCCTATTCAAGTGTTAAGAAAGCTCACCTCGTTAGTGTTCCAGCGTAGGCGCTCGTTAGTCAGCGTGGACGAGCGAGGGAGACAATCGAGCAGCTTGTTGGGGAGAAACACTTTCCTCTGTCCTTTATTCTCTGCACACACACAACGCAATCATTTATCATCTACATCATCTGTCACATTAAAGATGATTTCAGACATGAGCTCCAGGTAGAATCCAGAGGCTCGTCCCCAGAGACTCGTCCCCAGAGACTCGTGTCCCCAGAGACTCGTGTCCCCAGAGACTCGTCCCCAGAGTTTCACAGCTGAACAGCTCAGCAGCAGGTTTTCTGCTCAGACTCGTTCAGCATCAGATCCTCCTCGTTCTTCAGGTGAGAGGTGGAGCAGGCAGACAGGAAGTGATCATGTGATCATGTTTACATCACCTGACACCGTCGTCAGCTCTCATCACCACAAACTGTCTTCACGTCTT